TTCATGGTAGCTGTGTGTTGGTGCTAAGGTTACGGGATCTTCTCAAGTTTGCTAAGGGGCCGTTTTGGCTTTCTTTATTCTGTCATTTAGATGACTTTTGATTCATGTTCTATTAATCTTGAGTCCCACAATTCTGCCTACACTCGTATACTGGATTGGGTAGATGACAAAAATATTGGATTCTGGATTTCGTTTTGCAATATATATTTGCAACTTATATTTGAAAATCAGTGGAAAATAAGAACCAACAAAAACGTTTATGAATCTATTGCAACCTTTGTTTATGTTGGGGAGTAACGCCTTTGGTTGTCCCGGCTGGCAGATTGAGTTACATCAGCCACGTCAGTGAGGCGGTCTCCATACTGGGCAGGAGGCAGCTCACCTGTACAAGTGTTGAAGAGAGTGGGTGATGGGGCAGCTTCCCCCCCCCTCCACCCCCCGACACTCCACTTATCACTACTATACAAAGGTTTGGTTTCGTCCCCCCAGTAGTTACCAATAGTGAGCTCAGGTGTTGTGTGTGTATGAAGCTGTATAGTGTGGCAGTGAATCTGTGTGGAAGCCCTAATTCCGATATTTGAAGCGGGTGTCAAACTGTCAAAAGGTTTTCGATACACATCTGAGCACTGTATTACACTGCTCTTTTTTTCACCATGGCAATGTCAATATATTTATATATCAACACCATAGCTGTATGGGCTGCGCTTTGGCTCCTGAATATTTTGTTTGACGTTACAATTGTCTTCCTCTTCCATGAAGTTCACAAGGTGATTATGAGGAGAAAACGCTAAGCCGGTATGATTATATAGCACTTGGAAGGGCTACGAGGACAAGGGTCTCGGATTATTCTGAAGAGCTGCATATAATATTAGTGTATATTGATGGACTGCAGTTATTGGGAGGTTAGTCAATACAAATGTGTTGATATTGGTAGGGTCCGATGCCTTGTTCTTATAACTCATTGATTTTTTTGAGTTCTGCAACGGTTGTGTCAATCTTAAGGTGGCCCTCGTTATCAATGTTATTAAGGTCTATTGTTTCCGTTCGGAGTAATGTTGCAGGTACCTGGGTGTTGGTCAGCTGTCACGGGCTGCTTCCTGGGGGTGGAGGCCTGGTCGAGGACCGGGCCGCGGGGACACTAAAATGCCCCGAAATCATCTCAAGATAACCTCAAGATGGAGCCCTTGTCGACCACATTCGTCATTTTTCTTTCGGGTTAATTCTGAATAAGTCTTCGAGCACTTCCTAAATTCCTGTTGTTGTTCTCTGTCTTTGTAAAGTTTATTTCTTGAGGCGTCTTAGATGTGCTCACCTAGTGCAGCTAAGTAAGGCCTTTCCTCGGGAGAGCCTCCCATCTGTTTTTTGTTTTTTACATTTTTTCCAGAACTTTCCTGTGATTTTGTGGCATGTTTGGATTTCGTTTATTAGATCATCCCATTTTTTGGTGTTCATCCCGAGGCTCCTTTTGAAGTTCATTGTGTGCGTGTCATTGTCCGTCAGTTGTGTTTATTAGTTCTGGAGGCTGCCAGACTTCCTGCGCTAGTGTCGTGTGCCTTCCAGTCAGGCTTGTATATTGCTGTGTTGGGCGAGAGGACTTGTAGTAGTGCGGGTCTCCTTGTGATGGCTTCTGGAACACCAGCACACCCCCTCAGGACCCCAGTGGTGGTGTCCCCTGTGCCACAACATACTGAGTGCCACAACACTGTGCCACAACATACTGAGTGCCACAACATACTGAGTGCCACAACACTGTGCCACAACACACTGAGTGCCACAACACTGTGCCACAACATACTGAGTGCCACAACAGTGCCACAACACACAATCTTAGACAGCGGGTGCGCCAGACTGATAACACAGCGGTGATTCGTCTATTCATAATCACCTGCAGCCTGATTGACGGAATTTAAAAAAGTTAAATACGATATAAAGACTTGTAGAAACCCATACACAATACATATAGCCGGACACTTCACTCTCAACACAATAGGAATATCAGAGGAAATAAACACTTGTTCACAGACACGGAAAGACTGATATGACTAAACAGTGAAATGTCACCAGCTAACGAGGCCATTAACGAACACAATACCTTCCAATATATACAAATTAAACATGTATTTTCAGTTTAATTGGTTATGCACACTTTATTAAATAAAAATTACAATGGACAAAATAAATGATGAAGTTGTTCGGGCGCCTGGCTCTGGCTCCGGCGAAGGCCCCCCCCCCCCCCAACAGGATGAGATCCCCCCAACAGGATGAGATCCCCCCCCAACAGGATAAGATCCGCCCCCCCCCCCCCCCAACAGGATAAGATCCGCCCCCCCCCAACAGGATGAGATCCGCCCCCCCCCCTACACAGGATGACATCCAACACTCCTCCCATGATACTGGCACGGGTGACGAAGCAGATAAAGATGACATACTTCAGCAGTTAGCAACAAGGCCAAAAGTACACATTATACGCCGTAAACAAATCCTAAACTACAAGACAGTTTGCAGAAATGCTGACTAAGGAGAGTCATCGCGTATAAGATTACACATGTAAAGAAACCAAGCAGCAGCAGGAGGTGGCCGCGCACCCACACTGCACCAACACCGGGCCCCCACACTGTGTGGGGGGGCCCCACTACTCGTACATGGTGTGGCCGAGGTGTGGTCACACTGTTGTTGGCGACACAGGTGGCAGAGCCCGGGGCATTAGAGGTGTGTGTACTCTGGGCCGTGTAGAGCCCTCTACACAAGAGCTGGTCCACCACAACAACACCGGGCTCACACTCTTCTCATTTAGCAGGTCGTATAATTAACGCACTTGATCACACTGTTAAAAATGCCACTTACTTGTAAAAACCAAAGCGCCGTAATATTCGAGTTTTGTGCGCAGCGAAGACCATGACAACTTAGGGGCGCTTCTGGTTATACTTAGTGAGAAGTTATTTAACAGTTATGTTGTTAACGGAGTGATAAGTCCACAGACCAGGACGCATCCCCCGTTCCCCACACAAATATTTACACTAGTTTTAAAACCTGCCGCCACGAGCTATGGAGCTGCTGTCTACATGACGCCTCTGTTAAGACGTCCCGCAGGCCAGTGGCCGACGTCCCGCAGGCCGGTGTGGCCGACGTCCCGCAGGCCGGTGGCCGACGTCAACACAGTGACAACAACATATCCGACTCATCCCCCTAAAATAATAGAACTTATATACCAACTATTTGATCACAGCGTATAAAATGGACTTTTGGACCCCCCTAAAATGTTATTTTTGTATTACTGAATTATCCCAAAATGACATTCTAGAAAATTGGAAATGTAACTGAAGAATCTAACCAGTGCATACAATGCTAAGCCTACTATAGTACCTGCATGTGCTAAACTAGGACTAGGATTGCTAAGGTCAGGTTTATTTATATTTTTTAACTTGCCCGCCACAAAACTGACAGCCCAAAACGATCATTTTTGGATCCAACCGTCCATTTTGGTACGCGTCCAAATACTATAAGTACAATAATTTTAGGAGGATGAGGCTATATTGTACACGGGGGAGTGGCGGGGAGACCACAACACGTGACCCGGGCACTGGGGGAGACTTGTGCCTCCTGACCAGTAACTGGCTGGTGTCAGGACACAACTCTCGTGGGTCATGTCCACGTGCCCCAGGAACCACCGCCCGCGTGTCCTCTTGGGGCGTGGAGGCCACAAGGGGGGAGGAGAGAGAGGGAAGGCTAAAGAAGAAATGAAAACACTGACAAGAGCTGCTTGCCCTAGTTAGTATTGTGACGCTGCCACAGTTGTCTGTAACTCTATATTCCTGTATCACATCACTCCGGCGCGCGCACGCACGCACCAACACGCATGCATTCCTCTCTCTACACGCACACGCGAACGAGCGCGCGCGCATACACATCATCAAAAAGCTTTTGACATTGTTAAAAAAAAATACTTTTTTTTTCCACAGTATAAAAAGAGGGTGGTGTATCGGGCAGAGTACTACAGAGGGTGAAGGGCACCTTCCAGAAGGCAAAAAGTCATAGTAAGAGGAGAGTTATCAGACTGGAAAGGGGTAACGAGCGGAGTACCTCAAGGGGCGGTACTAAGGCCAATCATGTTCCTAATATACGTTACATAATCTAACACAGGAACTAGGTTAAATGTTATCAATATTTGTAACTGCTAAGCTTATGACGTGATTTAGAACTTGGAAGGAATGCAATGCATTGCAAGGTGGACCATCTCGGTAGATTATCTAGTTTAAGAAATAGCTGCTAGATTTTAACTCTGACAAATGCAAGGTTATGAGGATAGGAACTGGAGGGAAAAAGACTTCATATTCAGTACAGGATGAAGGGAAGGCATCTTATACTTTTGAAAAAGTGAGACTTGGATCCCTAATTATGTCTGCCCCTAACACCAGAAGCAGACATCAGCAGGATAAGGAGGGCAGCACATGCCATACTGGCAAACGTCCAAGTTATCCTTCAGCAATTTGGACAAGATCACTTCCAAGCGCTGTATACATACATCCTTTGTGAGACCTATTATTGAGTATGCCGACCTGGCAAGGAACCCCTATCTAAATAAAACATAACTAGACACTGTAAAACAATATGCAACAAGGATTGTTCCTGAGTTAAGGGGACCGAGCAGTGAAGACTGAAGGAACTAGACGTCGCAACAAAGAAAAAAAGAAACAGGGCAGACATGATAACGACATACAAGATACCAAGGGTTGACAAAATTGATATGGAAGCTCTGTTCAAATTGAGGAACAGTAGAGTGAGGACACAAGTGGGAAATGAAAAGGCAGACGAGACTTGCCAGGAAATATTAGTGGGTCCGGAACAGTTCGATTGTTACCAATAAAAGGGGATCGGCTCCCATGGCGACGCTTCACGAAATCAGTGTTAAGTGGCTAGCAGAGTCCTTAGAATTAATCAATTAAAGTCACCTTGAGACTTTATATTGAGAGCAAGGACTGCCACAGACAGGGTCGGCCCCCATGGCGGGTAGAGGAGACGACCTTCAGGAGGCCGGGTCGTCCCCGTCATCCTCCACTAACTCTTCTAGTCTTTTATATACAAGACTTACACGAATATACACACATGTGCTTAAACATATAAATCCTCTAACAATTCCATACATAAAGCTGTAAGAAGAAATAAGTTATAAGCCATTAGCACATAATGAAAGAGTAACCAAAGCCTACTGGCATGTGTGAAGGACTATCTCATGAGTAGAGAAGAATCACCGCCAGGAGTACCCGCGCATAATGTAGGTGGAAGACAGTATATGTGTGTGTGTGTGTGCACTATACTATGCCATGACCTACTTAGGTTATAGGTTGGGGCAGTTTTTGTTTTCCTCGAGACAGTACCCGCTATTGTTTGTCATCATGCCAGAGGCTTTAGGTGTAAATAGGTTGATGTTTGTCACATACACCCTCGTCGCTGTGTGATACACTGCCTGGCTCAAACGTGACTGCTTGCACATTACATCTCTTCAGGAGACATGTATACAAGTTGGTATATATTTGTAGTTGCAATACGTACAGGTTGTGTGAAGGCTTTTTGTACGATGACTTGTTGAGATGTGTTGCACAGTAGCAGGTCACTGTTGCCAGCGAGGCGACACTACTGTGCCCCACCCCTACCCTTCCTCCAGCTGTGGCTGTGTGTACACAGGAGCCGAGTGTGACATGTGGGGGTGGCAACACTGACGCTACTGGGGGGTAGGAGGGAAGGGGGAAGCGCGCACTCCGTGACTATGATAACAGTCAGCCACCCAAACAGTTCCCCCACACCGACCGTCCCCCACTCTCAGTGGTACACACACCTCCAGTTCACACCCACACTCGGCACACACTGCAAGTGTGAAAAAGGTTTTTAAGAACACTATTTAAAGAGGAATAGACCCAGAGATTAGAGGGGTCACTGCAGCACGTGAGGTGTCACACAATCTCCCGAAGCGACAAAGTTCAACCCTCGAAAGCATAACAAGGTGAGTACAACGAAAAAATGATGGCAGACTGGTAGTGTAGGTGATGAGTGACCTTGTACGGTGACACAGTGCCAGTGTACTGGCACTGTGTCACCATACAAGTGGTGGTGTGGAGTGGCCACATATGCCAGGATGTAACAACATAATGAGCAAATATATGGCAATCTTCCCTCCTTGCCACCAACCACTATTGTCAACACTCAGATGTTAATGGTGAGCTGGTGGGGGGAGGGGGGGGAGATAGTGTAATCTTATCTTGTGACCAACCTCCCAGACCCCCCTCCCCTCAACCCTCTTCCCCCAGGCCTCCACTATCACTTGTACGGCTCCCGCTGTCACTCCCTTGCCTCCCCTCGCCCGCTGTCACTCCCTTGCCTCCCCTCGCCCGCTGTCACTCCCTTGCCTCCCCTCGCCCGCTGTCACTCCCTCGCCTCCCCTCGCCCGCGCCTGCTGTCACTCCCTCGCCTCCCCTCGCCCGCCACTCCCTCGCCCGCTGTCACTCCCTCGCCTCCCTCGCCCGCTGTCACTCCCTCGCCTCCCCTCGCCCGCTGTCACTCCCTCGCCCGCTGTCACTCCCTCGCCTCCCTCGCCCGCTGTCACTCCCTCGCCTCCCCTCGCCCGCTGTCACTCCCTCGCTCGCCCGCTGTCACTCCCTCGCCTCCCTCGCCCGCTGTCACTCCCTCGCCTCCCCTCGCCCGCTGTCACTCCCTCGCCTCCCTCGCCCGCTGTCACTCCCTCGCCTCCCCTCGCCCGCTGTCACTCCCTCGCCCGCTGTCACTCCCTCGCCCTCCCTCGCCCGCTGTCACTCCCTCGCCTCCCTCGCCCGCTGTCACTCCCTTGCCTCCCCTCGCCCGCTGTCACTCCCTCGCCTCCCCTCGCCCGCTGTCACTCCCTTGCCCGCTGTCACTCCCTTGCCTCCCCTCGCCCGCTGTCACTCCCTCGCCTCCCTCGCCCGCTGTCACTTGCCCGCTGTCACTCCCTCGCCCGCTGTCACCCTCGCCCGCTGTCACTCCCTCGCCCGCCCGCTGTCACTCCCTCGCCTCCCCTCGCCCGCTGTCACTCCCTCGCCTCCCCTCGCCCGCTGTCACTCCCTCGCCTCCCCTCGCCCGCTGTCACTCCCTCGCCTCCCCTCGCCCGCTGTCACTCCCTCGCCCGCTGGCCTGTAGTTTCTCTAGTTACACACACGGGCACACACACACACACACACATGGTGTGTGTTCTCCTGCTGATGCTGGCACACACAGCCCAGCGAGTCTCAGCGTCAACCTGCACTGAAACATGGAAGACGCCACAGCACGGATCTTTAAATAACCAGTGCAAACACCTAAGATTAACTGTATAAATGTTTTCCTAAATGACGCAAGAGCTACAAGATCAATGTAATGGGAGCGAGTGATGGAGTCTTAACTACACTGTGCTCACATTACCCATAAGGACGAGTGCCACAACTCACAATAAACACCATAAACAACCACCTCTAACAACCCTCACAATGGTTCTCTCCATAAACAAGAGCCGCGAGCTGTAATGTGTTGGCCATGTACAACCAAACCTCATAAAGACCCAAAGTCCATTCCATGCACCCGCCAAACCCCAGGTGTTTATGAATGAAAAACGGTTTACACACGACTCACAACTGATGACGTTCGAACACTTCCGGAACAAGCACTTGACTGACGAATTTTGTTCGAACCACAACGCTGTAAATAATTCACCCACGTACTACAAATAATCGCCAACAGAACCTAAACACCTAACCAGTGAATAAATATGTAAAATATGATACAAAATATTAATTTATATTTGAGAAAATTCCCGTTTTGAATCAACAGCATGTAAAAATTTATCAAAGCGTCTTTCGGGTCGACCGTTGAATGGAATGGACTTGGTGTGAGGACGGGTTGCCATGTAGCGGGTGTTCCTTCCCCACTCTCACACATTCATCATCAGCTTCCCCATACCGTTCCCCACTTCATCAGTGTCGTCCACACTACGCTATGATATATGGGAGTGTGGGACGGAGAGGGTGTGGGGGAAGTGGCGAGAGTGGAGAGAAGGGAGTGCAGGGTGGAGAAAGGAAACAACGGTTTACAGTGAGAGGGAGATAGAATGAAGAGGAAACAAGTGGAATCCCACAAGGGTCGTTACTAGAGCCAATGTCACCCTAATATATTTTAACCAAGTGACGAGAAGTTGGTCTTTCATATCAATGTTTGTTCCTCATATAAAACTAATGAAAGATCAGAGCAGAGAACGACTAACATTAAAGTGAACTAAACACGCCATAGGGAATATAAAGAGCGTTTAGTAGACTAACCTAGACACGTAAATGAATGAGAATGGGAAGAAGAAGAGTGGTATGGCAACAACGAAGGGGGAAGATATTCCTGCACCATAAGACGCCTAAGGCACACTCACTACCCCAAATCTAACGTCAGAGGCCCACTTTAGAACCCTATGCCGCTGTGGCACGTCTGGACAAATTTTAGATAGACAAATTATTCCCCTGAAAGCTATGTAAAAGCATCATGAAAGCCACTCGTGAGCATGCAGCCTTTAAATATATGCAACAAACCCCGTTTACGAGCTGAGGAAACTGAGCTACGAGGGAAGACTGGGGAAACGCGTCCTCATCACACAAAATTAGCGAAGGAACACTGACATAACGAGATGTTTACTAGGAGAAATTGGCAAAATAGACAACCAATGTTGAAAACAAGAAACACCTAATAGAAACTACAGATTAGCGACTCTGATATCAAAGAGAACGTCAGTGTAAAAATTTGAACAGTAATAGGCTAGAAACGTAAGTGGTTGAAGATAACTCCATAGTTTGAAATATTAAAATAATGAATATTTCTGGCCAGTCATTGCTTAAACTATAAAATGGTTGAAAAGCGAGGTTGGAGAGCCGAGGCTCGACCCTACAAGCACTCTTGAGGTTACAACAGTTTTCCAGGAATGTTTTAAGTGGACAGACAGCTGGTGCCTGGAACAGCAATGGGGGAAAGGAGGGGAGAGGTCGAGAAGCGACAGACGGGAATTATGCAAGTTGTGAAACTGCCTCCAATATCATTTACATATATCAGAAACAGTATTAGTCCGAGGAATGACGCTGTGGGATTCCGCTGGTGTCATCTCGCCACTCTGATAAGTCTTCCCTCAGTGACTGCCTGCTGTTGCTTAGGTACTCCCATATCAACAGAAGCACCGTCCTTGTCATCCTGTCTGCTTCTCTAACTTGTGCTTCCTCTTGTCTGGTGTGTAGAAATGTAGCAGGGAAAGTAAGGAGCAGCAGAGAGAAGTGTAGTGAGCAAGAAAGCTTGGGGGTGGGTGAGGGAGAAGACTACGGGGTGGGGTGGAGGGAGAGGCCAGTAGGGGTGGAGGGGGGAACACCTCTCCACAACACAGCAGGAATATCGTTCACTGTTTGCGCGCGTCGCCCGACCTTCAGGACAAGACTGGCTCGCCTGCCTAGCTCCACTGATAGCAGAAAGGCGTTTACAAGTCCACCAAGAGGCATTATGTGATTTGACTACTTACAACAGCCACGTACACCATGGAAAAAAAGAGCAAAATCCTGAACAGCATGAAAAAACAAACGTGGTAATTGTCTATGAACAATTCCCCAAAACAACGAATTACGACTTATTAACAAACCCTACACACACACACACACACACACACACACCGAAATAATTTACCCCTCTGCCCCTGCTCCTTATTCTTGCAACTATTTGTATGGAGAAGTGCACGGGTGCTTTGTACATTATTACTCGTGAATAATGTAACGTAAGCAGACACACTCACGATATATCTAACGAAAAATTTAAAAACCTTGTAGTAGCAACGTGAAAATATTCATGCACCTACACACTTCACATCATACAAGCATACTTATTACACTCTTACAAAATTCATGCATTCCTCTTCCCCCTCCAGCTTACATGCACTCTCCAACCCTTCACTATGCACTCCCTTCTCACTCTTACAACGCACTCGTTCACTCCGCTTTATACCCGTCTCCCAGCCTCCCAGGCGCTCTCTAACCCGCCACTACCTTCCCTCCCTCCCAGTGACATCCTTGGACGCCTGGGGTTTACCGTTGGGAGTGTACGTCAAGGACGGTCGTTGGAGCCTAGTGCAGCCCACCGGTGTTGTGGGCTGGATGTGTGTGTCTTCTACACTCCATCCTCTCCCTCTGCCCCATCTATCACATTTTAGTTTAGTTAATTTATTATGCTGGGAATGGCTAGCCACAGGTGTCTGGCCTCCTATTTCGGACAAACAAATTATAATTAGGATAATACAAAAATTTTATCAGGCAGCGGTGTAAATGTCAGAAGTACATAATGCTTTCAGGAACCGACCCTCGATATTCGTTTAGACTAAGCAACTTACAGCATTGATGAACTAGTTCATCAATGTTGTAAATACATCAATGGGGAATGCGAGTTTCCACAGGACGTGGCTTTACAGTATGGAGTATGCTACAGACCTAAACAATGGTCTCATGAACTGGATCGCAGTGGTCTTTTACCCCATCAATTCATAGTAACAATTAACGGTAAATATATCACTAACAATAGGTCATTATAAATGGGAAAATTTACGTGAATTTAGTTTTACCAATAAGTTTACAATAGCAGTGAACTATTTTGGATGAGAACCAGGTAATACAATTTTAGTATTTCCCGTCTACTGTAGAGAAATTATGGGCGTAATGTAGGGTGTGGTAATGTTGGTAACATAACTCTTGATCCCTTGCATCAGGGGGAGGTGTAAACTCAAATGTAGACTTCTAGCCTAGCTGCTTATCCGGCTACCTGAAGACGAGCTGTGGGTACATCCAGTGCGATGATTCTCTTGGTTAAGATTATATATATAAAATATTATATATACCGTGTATATACACACACACGGAACGTTTAGCCTTTATAGTGATAAAAGGAATTAATACAGAAAATTTAACTTGTGTTTTGGTTTTACCAAGTTTCAGAAATAGGTGGAGAATTTAAATGTCCCGCAATGTGTACTTTCCTCTCTTGCGTGTTCCTCCCCCCCCCCCCCCACTACTTCGTGTACACGTGTGTGTGTGTACGCCAAGGGCATACTAAACACACATAGTGAGCGTGTGTCGTCCTCTGTGACCTTTCTCCCAGATGACCAAGCGCCCTCAACCCTTGGCGCCACGCACAGCCACCAGGTAGCTGGTCCACTGTCTACCAAGGTGTCCGGCACCATAACAAAGTGGAGTGCACTGCAAAGAATTAGTAGAGGCCGCCTCCATCCACACCTTCAAGAGCAGGTACGGCATCTTGCCGTTCTGAGATTTAAAACCATCGGGAATGAAAGAGGTAAGCCTCATTCCCCTCGCAGTCACAGATATGAAAGTAGTGCACCAGTGTTTGACTGCACAGTCCAGATGAAGGAGAACACTTTGTATAGCCGAGACGAAACGCAGTCCTGGGTATTTCCCAGAGGTGGCCCGATAATCTGGAGACGCCAGCGAATAAGATGGGATACTACTAGATGGAATACCCAGCTGTGCCCGGGTGTCTGCCTTCGTCTTCCTGTTTTAGAGCACGTCTTAGAACCTTGTCTGGAATAGGACATGTGTTTTTCGTAATGAAAATCGAATGGGGTCACTAAAGATGCGGATATTTCTCAACAGGTGTTACTAGGGCCGTCCGCGAAAGATCTATAACATCCCTCCCCCTCACCCCCGAATGTTTCACCATGGAAAGCTGGCAGTGGGTAGCTGTAAGCGTCTGGCCTCCGACTCTGGACAAATTATATTTTGTCCTGTGGAGACCCCCCCCCCCCACACACACACACAGCTGACCTATACAGCACTGTGCTACTCTCATACGAAGGGTTACAGTTTTCAGGTAATATCTTACAGGGTAGGTGGTCACACGTGGAGAGGCTTCACTAGGCTGCATTTGTAGGCTTGAGCGAATTAGGAGGATTTCCTAATATCTGCGAGTGATGAAAAAATTGCTATAAAGTTCCCTGTATCTACCTCAAACCTTTGTCTAAAACTATTAATTATATAACTGGGCATTCACTAAATGTTGAGCGTATCCTGGGCCTTCCCTTCACACCTGCCTGGCCAGGTGCGTCCTTCCTCTCACTACCAAAACACCATATGAATATCTCACCT